ATAAATAAATAAATCAAAGAAAGAAGAAAGGGAGAGAGTCAATAACGCTGAGTTTGCATTTTGATGGATTGACGAGAGCTATTGGATTTGACATTGATTCTTACTTAGCAGCCAAGGATGGCTGGAGAACACCAGCCTCTGATGTGCACTAACTCAAGACATTTATTTGAAAAGCTGATTTGATCAGTTTTAGATTGCAAATCGACTATAATTGCCAGAATTCACATATGCATTTTAGTTTATATTCCCATACAGTTTTATTAAGACCACCGGTCTTATACAGATTCACCACAGGAAGAAAGGAAGCATAGATGGAGCTCCTGTTCTCCAGGCAGCGAAGAACCCAACAACAGCCAACAGGTCCGACGCATGTCAAGTGGCCACACGTTCCTTCGTGCATACTTCAAGGTTAGCATATCACTAAAAAGCTATTGTTGAATCAGCCGCATTCTAGTCTTAGCTTTCCTCATCCAAATGGACCACGACATTCGGCGATTCTATTAATCTCCGAACGGTGACTGCGGCCTTGTAGAATTTATATAGACCAAAAAGAAGACCATGATCAAACATCATTGTATTCATCCAGTTATATATTTGTTGACAATCGGATTAATACAAGGATAAATCACCATAGAGTTCCCCTCTCTGTTTCTCCAAGCAAAAGCAACCAAATATTGTATGCATGATTTCATATTGTATTCTGCTATTACCTAGACCACAAGTTAAAGGACAGTCAGTCTTCCAGCGATATTATATAATATATTTGAGAAAGAGTTTACATTTTTGTACATTTTTTAATGCCAAAGTAGACTTCCCTGTACGAAAAATCTCAAACAGCCACGGAAAATATATTTTTGCAAAGATTTAAGAATATATTTCCAAAGATACACAAAGATAGAATACTATGTAGTTTTATTGATGAAGAAGGGCATAATTTGAGAGACAAAAATATTCTACCTTCTGTATGGAATTTATAAAGCAGAATCAAAGGTACAAGAAAAAAGTTAAAATAAAGGTATAGTCAAGGCTAACTCGGCCGACACGAATTACTGAAAAGATAACGATTTGGGATCATCGTGGACTATTAGAATCTTACCCAAAATATATTTTTAAAATTTCTCAAAAAAGCAATCTTTGCCCTCTCTATTCGTATACTCCGTATATACGTTGTTCTTCCTGCTCAACGGGGTGAAGCAGGGCTGTGCGCCCAACGCTGCTCTATTTTCGATCTGCATGGGGACTTCTTTTTCACTTAGAGCAGTTACTCGGCAGAGGAAAAGTTCTGGCAAACGCCGACGACATCGTTCTAGTTATCCGCGAGGATGGGCAGTTGGAGCTTATTAAGAAGATCTTCGATGACTTCAGACGTGCGTCAGGAATAAGACTTCGGAAAAAAAAGTCAGGGTCTCTAATCGTCAAGGTCCAGATTTAGCAAGAGAGGAATTAATGGTTTCTCATAAGTATTCTAGAATGCCTGTTCAAGATTGATACTTTAGACTTTAACTTTTAAATATATAATCAGACTTTTTCCCGAAAAGATAGGGAATATAAGGCTTTCAAAAAACATTCCCAAAACACGATTGTTTTTAGACTAATGCTTTTAAAATAGCCCGATTTGGAATAAAAAAGATGATAATATTGTCACTGTATAATATTTGCATATTTATTTTCAATTCATCATGTGAATTATCCTATAATAACTATTATGTAAATAGTAGCCAAATTTGTCAATATAAAAGAAGCTTGTTTTGGCATGCAGGTAGAATAAACTTTCAATAGAAAACTACCGTTCGCGTGATTCCTAATACTTATTTACAGGGAAATCCGTGACAATATCCTTTATCAAAACTTTAAAAAAAATATTTGCTCTAAGAACTTCGATTTGTACTTAAGAATAATTTTGCTGAAAAAGAGCAATAGTTGACATCCAAAATATATATTTTTCTTTTTATATGCTTTCGAAAATTTTATCAAAGAGACACGTTAGTAATGTAAATTGACTTATTTTATCTAAATGCAAAACCTTTAACCAGTCTCATTTATTCTACATTGTCTGGAGTTTCCTGCAATTAGAGAGGTGAGGTCTCTATAGAAATTCAATAAAACGATTAGAAAATTAATGAATAAAATATAACCTTTTTCTATAAACGTTTAAAATTGTACTTTCGATCTTAGATAGGATCCCTTTATTATAATAACAACAAAAGCTCTCAATATGGATAAATTATATATATATATATACACTGCGTGACATTGAAAATGGAACACCAAGAAATAGTGGCCAGAAAATTATGCAAATTTCTGGGTAGACGCGCCTAACCGAGTTATGCAAATGATGTGAAATGCGCAGCTCTCGTGCGCACATGGAGTAAGATATAAGGGAAGGAACTTGCAGAAAGGACAGTATTCGTGTCGTTATTTCTTCAAGGAAAATCATTGTAGAAATTTGTTCTTGTGTCAAAAGACACGTGTAATAACAGAGAATGCCAGGTCATCGTAAACGGAGGCAGTTCAAGCAGACAGACGCTTTTACGAGGGGCATGGTGATCGGACTGAAAAGGGCAGGTTGATCCATACGTCAAACCGCAACTGATACACACCTTGGTGCGTCCACGGTGCACCGACTGTGGCGAAGATGGTTGGAACAAGGAAATGTGGCAATTTATAGGAATGTCGGTGCAACCAGAGTGACGTCAGCACGTGTGGATCGGCGTATCCTTCGACAAGCAGTGGCGGCCCCACAAGCCACTTGTACCGCCATCCTGCAACATGTGCAAGACACCCTAGATCATTCCATCTCGACCAAAACCATTTCCCGTCTATTGGTTGCTAATGGCTTGCACTCATGCCGTCCGCTAAGAAGACTGCCATTGACCCCACCGAATAGGCGCCAACGTTTGGAATGGTGCCGGGCTAGATCGACGTGGATGACGGAATGGCACAGGGTCGTGTTCTCAGATGAGTCGCGTTTCTGCTTGTCCAGTGATAGTCGCCGTGTACGCGTGTGGCGTCGACGTGGAGAAAGGTCCAATCCGGCAGCAATTGTGGAACGCCCCACCGTGCGACAACGTGGAATCATGGTTTGGGGCGCAATCGCGTATGATTCCAGGTCACCTTTACTTCGTATTCAGGGCACTATGACGGCCCAACGATACGTTGATGATGTGCTGCGACCGGTGACACTCCCCTACCTTCAGGGGGTACCCAATGCCCTTTATCAGCAGGATAACGCCCGACCGCACACTGCTCGCATTAGCCAACAAGCTCTGCAAGATGTACAGATGCTTCCCTGGCCACCGTACTCTCCTGATCTCTCACCAATCGAGCACGTCTGGGACATCATTGGACGCCGTTTGCATGCCTTGCCACAGCCGCGTTCAGAAGACGAACTGTGGCAAATGGTTGAGAGGGAATGGAGAGCCATCCCTCAGGACGCCATCCGTACTCTGATTGACTCTCTACCTAGACGTGTTGCTGCGTGCATCGCCGTCCGCGGTGGTCCTACTTGCTACTAAGCCGACGCCGTTCTCGCTCTGTATTATGATTATCATTTTGAAATAAAGATCACTTATTGTTCGTCCCTGTCTCTCTCTGTCTGCCGAGTTTCATCACTTTCTGGCCACTATTTCTTGGTGTTCCATTTTCAATGTCACGCAGTGTATATATATCTTCTCTTCTTGAGATGTATAATATATAAATATTGTGTTACATCATGATTGATACGCCCCTCCATTCATTCAAAATACTCTATGATATTTTAAATTTATTTAAAATTAGTAGTAACAGATTATGTACTATAGTATCATTCATTTTAAAATTAGTAGTAACAGATTATGTACTATAGTATCATTCATTTTATAGTGTCATTCCTTTTGTAACATTGTTACTGTTTATATTGTTACATTGATGACAAGGCCAAGCTACTAGAGTAAAGTTGGGGAAAGAGGGGTGGACTCCAGCTGCCCCCGCTGCCATGTGGCAGGTGCCAAAAACAGCATTCCTTTGTGGGGGAGAACAGAGTCTGGTGACATCTGCGGGGAGGAATAGACGTGGCGACTTGCCTCCGGGTGTGTGGATGAAAATGCCAGGAGAGTCTGACATTGGAGCGACCTACAAGACGGTGTAGTCCAGGCTGGACGTGTTGTGTGGATCGGGAAGCTTCACAAGAGTGACATCCACGGGGCAAAGGATTCTTCTGACGGGGAGGTTGAAGGCAAGTCCCACTGATTGTACTCCTTCTGTTTAGAGCCATAATAAAGCGCAAACTTTAGCTGCATCCCTACGAACTCACGCGTGTATCTTTGTGGCATCCTGAGTAAACAAAGTACACGAATAGCGTCTGGGTACGACGTAACAACATCATGATTATTTATTTTGGAGAGAGGAGCAACGGACGCGAAGACTCAATATCCCTAACTAAAAGGAAGACCACAAATAAATAAACACATAAACTTTTATAGATAAATATTTCATTAATTACTTTTTCTTTACCCCTATTATAAAAACCCGCTCGGGAAACATATATAACTCCAAGAAGAAGGAAAACAAGATCGATTACCCTGCAAAGCTGCAACTTGGCGCAAAAATATTATATAGAAAAATGGAAAACATTTTACCTTAAAAAGGGGGAAAGTATCTCACCAATTCTACCAACAAATTAAGCCCAGTTCTTCAGCTCTTTAACTCCAACCTGGACACCAGAAAACTTTATTGGGTACAATTCACAGCAAGAAAGAATAGAATTCATAGCAGAATAGATTTGTGATTTTTGGTTAAACAATAATTAACATTGTAGAACGAAATTTGACAATTATACCGCAAATGTTTCTTTTGAACGAAAAATCTAAATTTATTATAAGAAGAAATAACGATTATTTCTAACCTTAGTGATGAAGTCTGATAGGATGAATTGTGAAGAGTAATGATAAACGGAAAAATAAAGTGTCCAGGGATGGGAATCGAACCCACAGTGTTCCGCTTACCGGGCAGATGGCATGCATGTCCAGAGAGCATAGTGGACATGGCATCTGCCCGGTAAGCGGAACACTGTGGGTTCGATTCCCATCCCTGGACACTTTATTTTTCCGTTTATCATTACTCTTCACAATTTATCCTATCATACTTCACCCCTAAGGTTAGAAATAATCGTTATTTCTCCTTGAAATAAATTTCGATTTTTCGTTCAAAAGAAACATTTGCGGTATAATTGTCAAACGTCGTTCTACAATCATAAGCAGCATTATATTGTATTATAATAATTGACATTGTTAAGAGGAAGGGACTTCTCCCAGTTAGAATACAATAAACTATGGCACGTATTTACCTGGAGAGGTGTCTTTTCCTTTTTAAAAGCTTTTATTTAACTTCTAATCTGTCTGCCATTCTGTGACTGTCTGATGACAATGTAAGTTGACAAAATTTAAGACTTCTTGGTGATCGGTAATTGGCTAATTTCTACAAGTATACTTGTAGTTTTTCTTTTAATTTTTTTAGATCAATATTTTTGCTCTCCGAGAAAAAAACTATATTTTGGCCATAGAATTAACCCAGCCACTTTTCCAGATAAACACCTCTTTGGCAAAATTTGAAGATTTGATGAATCCCTTTCGAATATTATGAAAACAAAGCCCATCCTGAACTGACAAGGGGCACAACCCGAAATCATTGCAACCAATTGGCCGTTCTGAATTTTCCAAAACTGTCACCTTTGTCACCGAGTCTGAGATATTGCAAGGACAGGCTAGGGCCTAGCATTTGCGTCTATTTGATGGGCAAGAGAGACATGACCCTCTTCCTTATTTAGATCAATTTCCTCTCAGCAAAATTTCCATCCGCATTATTATGGCGTGATATTTCATATCATGTTTAAGTTTTAAGATGTTTATATAATAATATATGTGAAAAATAGTACAAAAGTGAATTTGTACTTGGTTTAGGTAGATAAATCAAGAAACGCGTACGTGGTTAGCATTTCTTGATTAACCAAGAAACGGTATTTGGCCAATTCTGGAATAATTTAAAATATATTTCCAATTTTTTTTTTTATTATTTTTTTAAAATTCTTCTTATTTCTTTATTCTTTCTTATAATCTGTATATATTTACCATATGTATATATTCTTTCACCATTTTTATTTCCCACTTTCTCCGTTTTGTAACCCCAAGGAGAATCCTCTGTAAGACCTGTGTGTCTTAATAAAGGCTTTTGTGTGTGTGTGTGTGTGAATAATTAAAAATCAACGATTAGTTTATATTTATTCCGATAGATGGCGTAAGCCATCATCAACTTTCAGTTGCATGATCAGGAAATGCCTTTTTATTAATTAATAATAATATATTTATATATATATAGCGCGTATTCATATGTAGCAAATAGAAAATATATGAGCTGACAAGAAGTATATTTATGAGAAATTTAAACTAATTTTTATCGCGTATGATTCTTTTTGAAAAAAAAAAAACTAATTTCTACTGTCCTTACTGCAATGATAAATTATACGTATGTAAGATATTCTTAAGAAGTAGGCAAAGACAAGGTGTTTTTTTCCAAAGGTATATCAATGTCCGTGTAGCATATGTAAAGTTGCTTTAATTCATTATGCAAATATTTATCTTGAAGACCCTTCATTATTAGAATAAGGAAGATTAAAATATATTTGGTGTGATAAAATAACCTATTATTAATTAATTATATATATTTTTACATCTACACTTACACACAAACTGTATAATGAAGTACAAAACCTCCAAGTCTTTTTGATTCTTATGACTACAACTGTTAGATTTGCACCCAGATTGAACAAGGAACTAGAGAACAAGGTCGGTGATCTAAAATAGTTAAAATTAAACAGTTTTATTGATGAAAATATAGTACAAATGTCATATTGTACTGGAACAAGGTTCATAAATAAAAAAAGAAGAAAAAAGGCATCTCCTTATTGTGCAACTGGTGCAAGCCATCAGCAACTTTCAGTTGCACGACAAGGAGATGCCTTTTTCTTTTTTAGTTTTATTGATTCTATATTAATATAAATATTTTTCTATTAACTATTACGACTTGCTAAATGATTTATTTTTTATTTATTTCTCTTGACAAAGACAAAAGATTTTTATTGAAACGTTGAGAAAATAAAACTTTAACTGGCCGAAGTGTCTATTTTTAAAGAAATATGAATGCCGGCAAGGAATCTTCTATTTTCAAGATATTACGTTAAAATTGAAAAATTTCTTTGTGTAAAATAGAATGTAAAATATTTTCTTTTTAATATCTCGATTAAAAATAATGTTTTTTTCCAAATCGAGTTGTAATTTTCAACTCGAAACCTTAAAAAAATAAAAATAAAAATAGATTGTTGTTGAACCTATGGATAAAAAATGGGAAAGTATATTTTCATATAGAAATTAAAATCGACTCCCTATTTACCGGGGTAAAGGCGACAGCCAGGATATATCCACATATTACTCCCAAATAAAGAGAGAGAAGAGAGAGAGAGAGAAAGATTGATTTATTGATTTATTTGATATAGTGATTTATTTGATATAGTGATAGAGAGAGAGAGTAGTAATAAATAAAGTTAACGATCTTTTAATTTTTCATGCAAAGTTATTTGAAGATGATGATTCTTGATCTTTCTCTTCATTTAATAATATTTTCGGAAGAATTTTGAAAAATAATAAAAATATTAATATATATGATATCATAAATATAATTCCAATATTTATTATTTATTATCATATTGCAAAAATTCATACATCAATTGTATAATAATATCATCAATGCACACTATTATATCTTCATTATCGTTTCAGAACTGAATATTATTTCTTAAATATTATTTTTTTTTATATTCTATTGAGACATAAATTCATGAAAAAAATCAATACTTCAGAATTATCCATGATTTATTAATTAATGTTCAATATATTTAGCTTCATATATTATAAGGTGAATCCTCATAGTTTGTTTATTCTTTATAGAGAGAGAGAGATGTACAATAAATGGAGATTTCTAATTGGTTACAATACGCTCCAGGACAAAATACAATTGGAATGGCAGATAGCTCGCTAACAATCAATATGTTTATTTTAAAATAAACTACAGTAAAAAGACATTTGACAAGTTTTTACCGCAAATATTTCTTTTGAACCAAAAATCGAAATTTATTTTTTTTCAGGTGAAATAACAACTATTTCTATCCTTAGGGATGAAGTATGAAAGGATGAATTGTGAAGAGTAATGATGAACGGAAAATAAAAGTGTCCAGGGATGGGAATTTTTCCATTATTACTCTTCACAATTCATCCTTTCATACTTCATCCCTAAGGATAGAAATAGTCGTTATTTTCCTTAAAATAAATTACGGATTTTCGTTCGAAGGAAACATTTGCGGTAAAACTTGTCAAATGTCGATTTACACTCATATGCCGCATTATATTGTATTATAAATTACAGTGTTCAGAGCATTTACAATTTTGACCTCAGAGAGAGTACCGGCTATATATTGATTCCTATAATATTTAAACCAGTACATAAACAGCAAGAGACGTCCAGACTACAATTGAAATAAAGGCGAATGTTCACTTAATATTAAAAATAATACTTAATCGATGGCTAGTATTTTAGTTTTGGTTTTGTTTGCTACTGTCGGCTGCTTGTAAACCTGACTACGTTAAATCCGCATCCGGTAAATCCGATTTTTATTATTCGAATAAAAAGTGACAAAATGAAATCATTTTCATAAAGGGGTTTCAGCGTGACTCATATTGTCGCCCTTTTCAAGATTTCAATAAATATATAAAATATATTATAATCTATAAATAAAAGAAGACAAGTTTCTTAAAATTCCATTGGATTCTATATGGATAAATGATATGTTTTAACAGCCTATCAATTTTGTGTTTGCATAGATCAAGTTAAGTTAGGTCAGCGTTAGGCCGGTATGTAATTTTATTTATTTATTTAGGTAACCCACACAGGTTCCTGGAGCCACGTACTGAAGTCGTCAACTACCGGGGCTGTCCTTGGTTTTATTTACAATGTCAGTGGAAGTCCAATTCATGAGGTGGCGCCAGGCAGATTTCTTTCTTGGAAGATTTTTAAGGGATGCTGTATTTAGGTTGGTGATCCCTAGGAGGGTGGCCGTCAGGAATATTTGGTATTGGAAGGTTAAGCAGGTTGACTTTCTTGATTTATCAAGAAATTGGATTGGCCAGATATCTCTGGAACAAGCTAAATCAACGTTTAGTTGATATTTTTCCACTAGATGGCGCTCTGCCACCAAAAATGCTAATGTGAGCGGTCAGGAAATGGCAATTTTGTTTTTAATATATATATATGTGGTAACCGAGGGTCAAACCTGTAGTAGCCGAGAGGGACAGTCAGGGCGTGGAGAGTTTTCCAGTACCTATCTGCACCTTGTAGGACCTTTAACAGTTCTCATAGAGTACAGGCAGTCGTGGTCGAGGCAGAGTGGAAAGCTTGGGAATGTCCACACACAAAAAAAAAAAAAAAACGAAGAGACACAGTCGTAGACAAAAGTCGAGCTAAGAGCAAGATGGAGTTAGAAGAGATCTTACTGATTTACATGGCGATGAGGTGGACCTTGGAGACAACCGACAAGGGCTGGCGCCGACGGTGAAGTGACTGTGACTGTGTTGCTAAGCCGGGGGAGGCTTTTTATATAACTCCTCCGACAAAGAAATATTGCATTACAGTACATGTGATCGTCTGTCGAAACTGGACTCTGGCGCCGACCTGACGGTTTCCAATCTATCTTTAGAAGTTGTTTTGTGATTTACATCTATCTCGAATTTAGACGTGTTTGACTTCTCAATCTTGCTTTAACTCAGCTCTTAATCTATTACATAGTTTTATTTATTCATCCTCAGTTTGTACAAAGTACATTACATATGGTGAGGCAATGACACATGTCAATCATGCATATAACCATTTATAGATGTGTTTCTATATACAACATGACAATCTTGTTATAAGTATTATACAATATAGGGTTGTTGGTTTAAATTACCATAAATATACGTATATATGTTATAATAAATATTATTTTGAGATAGA